GGCCACTTCCCAGCTCTGTGAGCTCCCTGCTCCAGCCAAGGGCTAAAGTTGTTGAGGTCTCTGGCCGGGAACGAGGCGTCCACTCCGCCTGTAGCAGCCCACTGGAAGGGCCCTCTGAGCCCTACAGCGCTGCTGTATTGAACTCAGTCCCTGCATCTTCTACTGTTTGTCCCTTGGTTACTGCCTACAGCTGATCCATCAATGGCTATTAGCCTGGAGGAGCAGGGATGGGTGTCCCTTGCATTTGTCAGAAACTAGGAATGAGCTCTTGACAATTACCTGTTCACTCTGGGGCACCTGGCATGGGGCACTATCTGAAGACAAGATACTGGGCTAGTTGGACCTTTGGTCTGACTCTCTATGGTCATTCTTACGTTTTTATGTAAAGGGCAGTGTCTCCCTATGGCACCGAGAACCTGAGTCAGCAATCATGTTGGACAGGCAGAATCAAACCTGGGATCTCTAGAGCTTAGTGCATGAGCCTCTACACAGCTTGAGCTAAAAGCCAGGTAAGTTTTAGCTAAGGCTGTAGAGCAAACTTATTCTCTCTCTGTAAGTGGTCTAAGTGCAACTACATTGGACAGTAAATAACACCCAGAAGGAATGCGGGTTACAATTTCTCCAAGTACTTGTGGATACCAGTAGTCAAGGGTCTAGGCCTGCCCCTAGCTAAAGGTCTTCTCCAAAATGAGCAGGAGGGACCAATGAGTCCAGCTCTTAACAAAACAGAGGAGACTAGGATTGCCAGCCTTCTAAGATTGGATTTTGGTCTCCCAGAATTAGTGTCAATCTCCCAGTGACTGTTGAAAGCAACCCTGAATATTTTAACGGGTTGTTTTAAGAAAATGATATTGTCATGTTAGAAACAAAAAAAACCCAAAACAAAATCTCCTGGAATAGCTTCAGTCAGAGTTGGCAACCTTAGTGGGGAGGGCAACAAATGGAAAAACAGGGACAGGAGTGAAAATCACAGAACCTGAAGGGGACACCCAACACAGCAGTCCTGACAGTGCATAGAGCCTGAGGATGAGGAAGGGTGTGTGGCATCAGCCTTGCTCACCTCAGAGCACAGCGAGGACAGGTGCTGTGCAACCCCAGCCTCCCTGGCCGTGGAGCAAGGGAAGGGTGGGCGCTGGGGGCAGTAGCACTCTGCCCCCAGAATGCCTACGGCAGGTATTCTAGGGGCTGTGTGTGGGTGGGGCCAGGCTGGCAGTTTGGGAAGGCAGTGCCTTCCCCCCACCTAGAATACTGGCTGCCTATGATGAGGCCTCACTCCCACAGACCCTGCCTAATGTTTTACCCCACTGTTCTTTCCTTAACATCTTTCATCTCTGTCCCCCAGCACTGATTTTTGTGGCTGGCATTTTTGTGGCTGCTTTTGCCAGGCTTACTAGGCTCCTGCAAAAGGCATGGGAGAACTGAGAGTGGAGGAAGATAGATAATATCTTTGCATTTAGTGCAGTCACACAGCAGCCCCAGTAGTTGAGTAGTGTCACTGCAGGGAAAACCCTGCAGTTTTTTGTTAGTTACCTTATTAAGTTGGAACTGATTCAAGCACACAAGAAATCTGTTATAGAAAGCTTGCATCTTCTGTTTTCAAGGTTATACATAAAAAAGTGGGGCAGGAGTTGAGGCCTGTTCCTCTAATTTGAGAGAGCCTGAAGAATAAAAAAGGAGTTTACTTTCTGTGCCCTTGGTGTCATTGCTGAGACTGCCAACAAGAAAGCCAATTGCCAGCTTTGTCTTATTTTTATCCCTGGCATGTATCCTGCAAGTGGACTCTTTGTACCAAGGCTCTAGGCCCACCTCTGAAAGATTTTGTCCAGGTAAGTACTAAGCATTTGTATTCAGTTCTGGCTGAAACTTTAACATCTCATTAATTTCCAGAAGATGCTTTTTGTCCCTTCTATGCATTTTCCCATTTTTAGTCATTACATCATATGTCCTACGTGCCACTTGCTTCAGAAATGCAGCTTTCTTGTTCCAAGATTGAAAGGCCTTGATGCATAATACATTTCTCCTTTAGCGGCACACAATGTTCTTCTGTTAATTTGTCAAAATATATCCTTTGTAATATTGTAAGCTATATTTTTATACACAAATTCATTATTATTCTGCTCATGCATGCAAAGCTCCTGTGCAACTTGTATCCTATTAATAGTTTTGCTGGCAACAATCTGTGTTCCAATAACCTGGGATGCTAGACTAATATTGCTGATTAAGGAATGAATAAATATTTGATGCCTTTTCTGGACATCTCTTAAACATTTGTTCCCTCCTTATGTGTTATCATGTGCTTTGGCATTCAGAGAACTAGTAATGACTCAACATTGTGATAATGGATTCAGATTTTCTGTATAATAGAGACCATACAACTTTCCCAAAATAATCCCTAAAGCATATGTTTTAGAAAAAGAATCTAATCATGATTTTAAAATGTTCAATAATGAAGAATTCTCCTTGACCCTCACCAAATTGTTCCAATGATTAGTTACTCTCAAATTATGCCATCTCTCAAAAAAGTCTCAGCAGAAAGCAAAACTATTAAATATTTGATTCTTTTCCTCACTTTATATTTCAATGCAAAGACTGGAAGGCATATTTTGACTGAATGACATAGTACATTCAGAAATTTGACTGAAAATTGGCATTTAGCTTTGGCAAAATACATATAAAAATAAAAAAGTGGAATGATGTTTGTAAAACTAAAATATCCACCTTTTTCTGATAAAAGCAACAACATTTCAAACAAATGCTAACATCAGAAACAAGTAAGTATAACATTGTACAAAACAAATTACAGGTTGAACATCGCTAATCTAGCACTTTTTGGTCCTGCAACATTTGTGGTACATCATGATTTTTGTTAGCTAGATGTCCACTTATCATGGGTGTGGCCAAGTTTCTCATGTTCCCCTAAAGTTTGTTTACAACCACATGTCCTGGCTCTCAGTGTTCTGTGCTGTTATTTAGATTTAATTTAACCATAACTGTATTCTAAGAGGCCAGTAAGTAGTGGCAGTGTTGGTAATACTGCAAGACAATATTGACCTCCCATGGTTCAGCAAATTCTCTAGTTCAGCACTGGTCAGATCCCAAGAGTGCTGGAGTAGAGAGGTTCAACCTGTAATATTTTTTCATTAACTAATTCACTAGTTTTGCATAACTCTGATAGCATGTCTGAACTAATAAACTGATGGAAACACTTCAAATACTTTGCTAAAATACTGTGGATCATTGTTTTATAACAGTTGTTGATGAGCTTCTATTTCTAGTGAATATAGATTTCATAGTGCAATATAATATGGACAATAAAGCAGTCCCTTGCAAACTGAGCTACTAATAATTAAAACATTTGCTTGGGCTTAGAACAGTAGTTTCAGTACCATTTCTAACTTTTCTGCCCTGCACAAGCACTCATTATATTTTCCAACCATTATGTTCACATCAGCAATCCGAGGAGCCTTTTACATTGTCAGAGCATTTTGTGGGGTGGATGTCATATGAATAGAAATATCAACAAGAAACATAAAATAGTGGAGAAGGGGTTTATATATTAAACAAAATTGATTGGTGACAGGATTCATTGGAGAGAACTTCACACAAAAGTGTTCTTGTGTATTTCTGCTTGCTATTGGTGTCTTCTTCATAAGTAAACTTTGATGAACTATTTTTCTGTGTATATTTTTTTAGGTTGATATCTAGAAAAGGAGAGTTTTCCTTTTTTACCGGCATCTGCTACTCTCGCCTAGTTACCCTACCAGATGGCATGGTGATGTGCCAAGTAATTACCTAAGTTAGATAGCTGTTGGCTCTTTTTTAGTTTTACTCATTGTGAACCTCATAATGTTTTTTGAATAGGAAAAGGTTCAAGCAGCATTAGTGAAGAAAAGGGCTTCCCATTCCAGTCACATCCCATTTTTCTGGCACAGCCAGCCACCGGCGGACCTTCTCGGCAAGGAGGGGGCTGTATGTCCTGGTCCTGGCCCCCAGTGGTGCTTCTCAGAGGGGAGGGCTGCGGTTGGGAGTCCTGTTCTTGGTCCCCCGCGATGCTACTCCAGGGTGGCCTGCTTCCCCACCCCTGTCCAATGCTGCATCCAAGGACTGAGGAGGAGGGGTTTGGAGCAGGTGGTTCACTTACCTGGGCCAGTGGCCAGCAACATGGAGAGCCCTGACCCCAGTTGGCCACTCTCTTCCTGTTGTGGTTGCCCCTTTGTGGTCACTATGCAGTATAGCTACCCCA